AAGCCAGAGGTCAAACAGAAGTTCAACCCACACATTAGCTAGAAAACACCACTTATCTTCAATGAATGTTATCATACCCAATGGTATATTATATACAATACAAAAACTTGTGGGACTTAAACTAATACAAAAGCCATTCCTCACATTTTAGAAAAGAGAAAGTCTTAACTCTGTAATGTTCATCCTTGGTCTAAGACAGATGGCAAAGTTCATAGAATATAAGCTTTGTAGGGAGAAATATTCACAAAATTAGGATGACGCAGAACAGGTCTAACAGAACTTAAACTGAGAAGAAGGCATAAGCAAGAAAAGTGTTTTGTTCATATAACACAACAAAGCATGCAAACATAAAAAATTTATTTCTTTCACTTGAACACTTTAATATCTTTGTACAAACATCCCGCTGACGGCACTTTGCTTATGTGTGATAGCTCTTTTTCACAATATATGAATCAGCTAAAAGTTTTCCTAAAGTCCTCTGAGTATATATGATGTTACCTTCAACACAAAAAGCAGCAGTAGCGTCCCATTAATTGGGGTTCACCCTTGAATGAACACTCCATGACAATCTAGGAGATCATTTATGAGGACTGGCAAAAGAATACTGAAATGTCCTATATCATACTCAGCTCTGTTATGAAGTCATGCATGACTGCTACTTTGCACTTACCCCAAGACCCCTCTTAAGTGGCTCTGTAAAGAATATGCATGAGTGTCAGTGTGAATTATATATAAGACAGACTCATGGAAAATAAGAATCAGGCCCCTAATGTAAAATAGGTATCCTCTCTCTTGGCAAGTCATTGGGGCAAGCCTACCCATAATGCACTTGTGGCTAAATAAATATTAGTGGCCTGAATCTCCTCTTCCATGCATCTTTTTTTCCCCACCCCCCCAAAGGAATTTTTTCTCATAAGGGATTGATAATTAATAATTAATAAGGGAATACTGCACACAAACTCCTCACAATTTCCAGTCAGGCTTGGGATAATTATACCTTCTGTAATCCACAATCCATTAGTTAGTTGATAAATTAGTGTGCTTTTTACAAAGGAAGAATACTCATGTTACAGTTTGTAATAAACCAGAAAACTAACCCCAAGAAAAAATCGAAATTAACAAAAGGAAATAAGGACAAATCAGCCATGCAGTGAAACAAACAGAATTAACAGAGAAAACTTTCAGCCCCATCAGGTTTCATATAACTTTAAAAAAAGGAAACACCATGCTACTAGTAATTTTTTTAAATTATTGACAGGTTGGTCAAAGCTGCTGCTGCACTATGGATGCTATATAAGTCCAGCAACGGACTATAAGTCCAGCAATGTCAAATAGAAGACCAAAATATAAAAACAATTTTTTTTTTTTTTTTTTTTTAAAAAACAGTATTTACAAATTGCTGTTTACACAATAAGTATAAATAAATGCCTGGTCTAAAAACTCAGAAGTTCCTCTGGACCAAAGAAGGCCAGACTCATGCAAAACTCTATGGTTTGGGGACCAGACCTTGGTATTTTCTGGGATGTAGTATATGCAAAATTCCTGCTCTTTCTAAATCCCAGCACTCCTTCTTATTTCATAGTACTGTATATTCTGAAGTGGATGGACTTCTGGACATCTTTATCTTAATCCTACTTAAAAAGCTTATGAATGAGAACACCAGAAAATGGAGGTGAATCCTGTATTCCTCAGCTAAAACACCTACCGAATCCACAGAGAGCTTTGCTAGGGTGAGGACTAAGCAAGAACTGCTGTGCTTCTAATATGTTAACTGGTGACTGAGATTAGGTGCATGTCTTCATTTACCAAAATTAAAAAAACTCACATAGTAAAGTGTGCCCATACTGTGTAACAGTACTTGACCTATAACATTCCTTTTTTACTAGCTAACCATAGTTTTCATTTCTTGCCACACATCCTTCTTGCTTTGTCCTATTTACTGTTACAAGTCCTGTAAAACACCTGCTGCTCATTCACTGTCACCTTGTTCTGTTTCACCTTGCTGTAAGTGCAGTCAATGGCAAACCTTTGCTGACCTCGAAAGGCGCAGGATTTGTCCTGAGATGCCTAATCCAAAGCGGGACTCCCTCTTAATTCAGTAAGCTTTGGATCAGACCTAGAAGGGATCTTGGCAGAATCAAGAAGTGGCAAGACACAGTCAAAAATCAAAACCACATCCAAGTGTTTATCTCACATTCCTAATCTCTGATGTGAAAGGGATTAAAAAGCAAGCTGTTCCTGTCAATTGCTTGGATGCTACACAGGATCTGAATGACTGAACAGGCATCAGTAGGATAGCTATGCACATTGATATGGTTTCATTTCTTTCTACAGAAGTTTGAAAGGGAGCTAGTATTAGAATTTGAGGCTTATGGTAATATTTCTTCACTTGGTTCCCAATTTCCCACTGTCAAAATGCCACTATCCTTTCCACTCCTACAGAGGAAAGAAGATGGTTGTGCCTCTTATTTCAGGACAAACTAGCAACTTATTTGACTGAACAAAAGATGAGAAATCTGAAAGTGATGTTATGCAAACATTTCTGATACAACCTTGCCACAGAACCTAACACAGTCTGTGATGGCTCCAGACTCTTTCAAATTACATCCAACTGATTTCAGCACATTTTGTTTTATGTTACCCAAGTTTGAATGTATTGTGATAGTTTTTTTTCTCCTTTATGTCATTCAAACAAGTTTCTACAGCTGTCTGAGATGCCATAGGTGTATCTGACTATAATTTTGGCTCATATATGTATTTAGAGACTGAAGGTCACTGGAAAGAGAAACTGAGTGCATGTATTATGGTGACTTCTAGCTACCAGAACCACAGAAAAACCACATCAAATGGCATTAACTTAGGCAGAAGGCAACTGAAATAATGAAAACCATTACAACATATATATATATACAAGTGCAACGTGAACCTCCCTTTAGGAAGAAAGGATACATCTATAACATTCAATCAAAGCAGGAGATGAGGGAAAAGGAAAAAAAAAGGTAAAAAATAATTATTTAGACACCTTGGGAAATTAAAGAAACGGTCACTTTCATCTGCAAAACCTGAGGAGAAAACTGGTCTGAGTGCACAAAGGGGAATTTTTTTAAAAGCTCAAAGTTGGCCTAACTTCTTTTAAGCAAATTCATGACAGGGCACTGTTAAGTTATAAGAGTTTGGTCAAAAGCAAGCACTCATGAAAGTTTAACCATCCTATACTTCTGCCTTTAATCATCATATATTTCATGCAAAAGAATGAAAGCAAGTCACAGGCAAAGAACCAAAAAATCAGTATATTCATTTTGTTTTATTCATCTGGTTCATTTTACTGTGTTGACTCCTACCTAGAATTAGGAAAACACTAATTAAGCATATGTCTCAAGCCCTAAATGCAACTGCCTTCTTTGATATATATAGATGAAAATATTTCACAAACAAATCTGCCTGCTGGGTGTCACAGAGGCAGCATCTCCCAGGTCACCAGGCGATCTCCCAGGTCACAGGCAGCGTGTTTCAGCTGCGTGGCTCAGAAAGGAGATCCTCCCGCCTGCATCCAGGAGGACAGGTCTGTTACGGAACACATTGGTGACGTTTCAAGCCAAGCAGGACTGTGAAGCTGGTCCCTGAGTCCTGCAGGCAGTGTAGCAGCTGTGTCACAGAAGTGCTGGGGAGGCTGATGGATGTTAGCTTGTACCAGGGGATCACAGTGTGTAACACGGCTTCCCTGAACTCTTTTTGGCACAACTTATACCCATCTGTTTCCCCTCTGCTCCTTCCCTGGGAGAGGAACATATGGCCCAGAACATGTATCTCAGAAGCAGAAAATATATTCATGTAGTTTTCTAAAATATTCTGAATACTTTCATTTTTCTTCTATAAGCTTTTATTCATTATGAATCTTATTATGGCAAAATAAATATTTTTTTTTTACAAAATTAAGTCCTTGTTTAAACAGTTAGGTAGTCCGCAATGAGAAATTAAAATTTAAAAAATTGTGTATTGTGCTTCGATAGTAAGAAGTTGCTATTGCAAGAAGAATCTTTGCCAAGATTCTGGTTTTTGGCCACTGCGTCATCATATTTTAATACTTACCTTAGTCCAAGAGCATTGCAACCAAAAACAAATCAACAACAAAAGAAAGTAAAACCACAGTTAAGCTTAACATGAACATCTAAACATCGAACATTTTTGTTTTGAGTCATCCAAACTGGGGACAAGCTTCCACAATTTACTGTATCAATGAAACTTTAGTCAGCTTGCCTGCTTGAAGGTAGCAGTACTAGGACAAGGCTTCATCTGAATGTGTTCTCACTTCTCACTGAATATATATGTATTTTACACACATATGTGTGTATAAGTGTGTATATATGTATAGAATATATACTTGTTTATATACATACACAGCATACAAATATATACAGGCATACATATAAATATATATATATGTGTGTATATGCACTTTAATATTTTTATACAGAACACTCTAATGCTTGATTGCAAAAATGTAGTATAAGAGAAAACGTACTGCAATCCCTGCCCAGTGTAAAACCATGCCAGACCAGCTGTTGACACTTTGATAATCTACCCAGCACAACTTATGAAACACTGACTCCACACCTATGCAGAGCCTGTAACAGGACAAGCAATACTGAAATGTACATTTCTCATAACCAAATGGTTTTCTAACAAACAAACAAATAGTAGTCTCTGGCAGTATTTTCATTCAATATGAAGTCCATTAAGAATCACACAGATGTTTCTGATCACATTACAGCAAAAGCACAGTACAGCAGTTGCCTAAAAACAACTGAATTCAGCAGTTTCTTCTGCTGATTTCAGTGGTTTAGGACAGATTTGGGTGTATTCACTTCATGATATGTATATTTTTAGATTCTTCTTTTCTCTGAATATTTTAGTGAAAGTTGTCAATTCCTCAAAGTCAGACACATTGGTCATGAAACTATTTTCTACTGTCTTTGTGTTAAGCCTACTGTTTATCTTACCTTTGCTGCCACAGATGAGTTGGGTTTCTCCAGCAAGTCCCAAAGCTTCTTCCTTTTCTCTGGGCAGCAGGTATTATCAAACTCTTCCCCTTCTCTCTCTCGCATTGTCTCTGCCTCTCTCCTCAGTTCCTCATTCATTTGCTCTTTCTTTTGATGGTATCTTGCCTGGCAGCAAGATTCTAAATATATCTCATCAATCCCCCAGTAATCAAGCTCCTGGCCAAAAGAAAGAGCACACATTTCTTCCATCATATGTAGTTTCCCTGTCCTGTAGAAATTCAAAATGGAAGTGAAAGCCCCTGGGTGTCGGTCAAAAAAATATTCGTTTTCATTTAGATTATAGTCATCACATACTTCTAGCAGAGATTCATGGGTATTGCAGTCTCTGAGCTTTCCTAATCGTGTCCTTGGAAGTCTGTCCAAAGTCCTCCACAGCACTTCATGGTTGAGCCCACCGACATTTATTTTAACTCTCCGTGAGCAGGCTTTGCTCCTAATGATCTCCACTGGTTCTGGAGGGAGAGAAAGGGTAGACCTTGAAGACTTTTTGGTGATCCCTGGTGGAGCCTTCTCAGCCATTCTGAAAAAGATGAAGCTGTAACACCAGAGTCCTTAGGAGAATGAGCTTGGACACTACAAATATTTCAGCAGAGTCCTCTTCAGACAGACAGCTCCATTCCTGAAGCTAAAAAAGACAAAAAATTAGAATATTGCTATGTACAATATATCCCTCAATCTCTCTCTCTCTCTTTGCACACTTTCATATACAGATGAAAACTTAATGTTAGCAATTTGCTCTCTATAATGATACTCTTCTGTGGTGATATACAGAACCACTGGAACAACTGGAACAGCTAAGAACACTATGTTTAAGCAAAGGAAAAACTCACTTGTACTTCTGCATTTGTGAAAATCAACTGTGACAATTTGTACAAAGGACTTGGGGGGGTTCTGGGTTTTTTTTAAATCAGTTTGTGATGCAACTATGTTAGCTTAATCTGATTACTTGGCAGTTAATGTATGAGGTGTGCAATGTAGGGATATCCATAAGAAAAAAGTAAGACAGAGGCCAGTCTCACTTTTATTTAAGAATTCAAATTTGGGAGATACTGAAACTGAATAAAGCAGTTGCAGCATACCAAAATATCCAAACTAAACTGCTTCTCTTCCTCTCCCAACTCAAATCTTGATTTGCTGTATTACTTCATGGGTAAATGTTATTCACCAAACTATTAAACTGTCATCATGACAAGTCAAATTTTCTAGCACCAGACAATGATTATTTCTTTACAAATAGGGTAAAAGAATCCTAACTCTTCTGCATCCAACTGACCAGTGATACATGTTATATAGGCAAGGGCTGTGCATACTGTTCTCTGGACCTTCTGTAAGGCTCTTTTCTGCCCCACTTTTCACCTGTTAAATTGCTGCAGACAGCAATCAGCAGCATCATTTTTAATAATCCACAAGTGCATCCTCACTCACTGTGCCTAGCACTGCAGTGAACTCTGAAGTGCAGCTGTTTGTCACTAAATTTGGAATATCAGCATCGAACAGGAAGGAAACCCACTCACCCGCTCTACTGTGGTCAACTGTCAGACCCAGTGCTTAAATAATAACCTAGCAATGGTATCATGGCCCAAAGGGAGAATATTAAGGATGCTTAGACAAGCTCCTGTTCCAAACTCGGAAAATCCTCTTTAGTAATTTCCCAGAGTTGACATCTCCTCCTCCTGTTCTCTGCAAATCAACAATTCAACAATTTGGGGGATTTTGTTTGTTTGTTTTCTTTTGTTTTGTTTGAAATCAAGTGAAAAAAGTCCAGCTTTAAAAAAGCGTTTGATGCATACAAGAATTTGATCCTCTTTGCAGAGTAAGTATGAAGGTTATGATGGGAGGGATTGTTATCTATAAATAACATCAGGAGTAAACACCTGTGAGGGAGAAGAACTATTTGTACTAAAGGACCATGATGGCACAAGAATAAATGGGTTCAAATTCATCACGAAAAAAGGTAGAAATTTGGAAGAGAATTAGAAGGTCACAAAGACCAGATCATCACCAAAGCAGTGAGGACCTAGAATAATCCTTTATTAAAAGTATCAGGAAAAACAAAGAATTATTTCAGTGTGTTGTCAGACATGCTTATGACAGTATTGACTATGTTGCTGGCAAAAAATTAAAATTGATAAACCTCATTATATCTAAACATTAAAAGTTCCTCCAACGACAGATAAATTAAGACTCAGCCACGTACAATACAGGTGTTAACAGACTGTCATGTCCAAAAACATCAGGAAAGAGGAAAATGGCAACAACCCAGAGCACCACCATTTTAGTTAGCAATTTCATTGTCAAGCTGAACCTACTTCAAAACCACAACGGCCAAAATTTTCTGCCTCTTCCCATCCTGCATCCAGCACCACAGTGTGAAGATCCCTCCTCACCTCCCAGTGCAACCTAGAGTACTTCTGGGCCTAATTACGTAGGGGTTTAAACCCTTAATATTTACATTCATTCACAAAAAATATAATCTGATAACTCCACTTGTAAAGATAAACATCCTACCAAAATCAAAGCCCTGGCATCAGTAGTTTTACACAGTATATGTACCTTTCTGTTGTGTTTGGTTTGTGTTTTGCTTTTTTCCTCCTGACCTTAGGCTGACTTTTTCCTTTGATTTTACTCTCCTCCTCATTGCCTTATATGCAAGGGGATCATGGTGAGACTTCTGAGAAGGCAGGGACTCAAGTCTTCTCAAGATCTCCTCACTTAAGCATCTCCTAGGTCTGTGATGCATTTATCAGTCTTCTGACATACAGACATCCATACAAAGAGTAAGTATTTATGAGAGGATAATTCTCTACAGAGGAAATATTTGCAAACCTAATTTTTTTAAAAAAATCCTTTTAGAGTTTAATGTACAATGATGTTTCTCCTTTAAAGGTTGTCTTATATAAGAAAACACAAAAATTTAAGAAATTCATAAAGAGGTTCTGTCATTCTCCATGAAATCACTCAAGTCTTCAGGCAATTTCTAGAGATGTTTACTGGTTTATTCATTATTTTATCTCAGGGAATTATTCTTTTTTTTTAAATGAAAATGTGTACCCTAATATTAGCAATATCGAGTAAAACACAGTAGAAATCAAGCAGCTGATCTTAGGTTAACCATATCCTCATTTATTTTTCTGATTGTAGAAACTAAAGATGCACGAGACTATGCATCGTTTTAGCTTTTCTGCAGTGTAGTTCAACATGTTCAACAATGCAAAAATTATAGTGTCAGGAAGACTGGTGTAAAGCTGATAAAACATTTTCTGGTTTGTCAGTATAATTACTGGTTGCAGCTTCCTACTTGAGGAAATGTGGCTTTTCTAAAAAGCTTTAAAAACCCAGTGGCCACACTAAAGTCAGAAGTGAAACACTATTAAGTTTAATGTTGAGAAGGTGTTATGTATATATGTACCAAGGTATGAACCAGAATTCACAACATGTAGCACTCTGAAAAAATAAAAAATAAAACTCATTTTCCCAAATGAAGAATCTTGAACCATAGGGGTGATTTTTGCCTTTTTCACAGAGCTCCATCATTAAAATATATACAAGAAGCAGAGTATACAACTTTAAAATAAATAAATAAATTCTTTTAGTTAGCTTCTTAACTTTTCTTCCCACCTTCATTTGTTCTTCACACTTCCTTTTGTTCTCTGATGATAATTTTTTTAAAATTTCTTCCTGCACAACTTTTCTGCAAACTTGGGCTACAAAGTCTGTATTTAACTGTGCCTTTAAGAAAAACGTAGAATCTCCTGAATTGAAAGGGACCGAAAGAGATCATCGAAGTCCAACTCCTGGCCCTGCACAGGACAGCCTTGAGAATCACACCATGAGCCTGAGAGCATTGTCCAAATGCTTCTTGAACTCTGTCAGGCTTGGTGCTGTGACCACTTCCCTGAGGAGCTTGTTTTATGCCCAACCACCCTCTAGGTGAAAAACCTTTCTTTACTAATATCAAACTTAAATCTCCCCTGACACCACTTCAGGCCATTCCCTCGGGTCCTATCACTGGTCACCACAAAGAAGAGATGAGTGGAAACTGTAGGCTGCAATGAGGTCTCCCCTCTTCTCCAGGCTGAACAGACCAAGTGATCTCAGCCACTCCTCATACGGTTTCCCCTCTGGACCCTTCACCATCTTTGTAGTCATCCTTTGGACACTTTCTAATAGCTTTACATCCTTCTTATATTGCGGTACCCAAAACTGCACACAATATTCAAGGTGAGGCTGCTCCAGTGCAGAGCAGGGTGGGATAATCCCCTCCCTCGACCGGCTGGCAATGCTTTGCCTGATGCCCCTCAGGACATGGTTGGCCTTCTGGCTGCCAGGGCACTGCTGAACTCATACTCAACTCGCCCTCGATCAGAATCCCCAGGTCTCTTTCCATGGCACTGCTTTCCAGCCTCTCATTTCCTAGTCTATATACATCCAGGGTTGCCCCATTCCACGTGGAGAATCCAGCACTTGCCCTTGTTAAACTTCATGTGTTGGGTGATTGCCCATTTCTCTAATTTGTCAAGGTCTCTCTGCAGGGCCTCCCTGTCTTCCAGGGAGTCAAAAGCTCCGCTCAATTTTGTATCATCTGCAAACTTACTTAGTATCCCTTCAAGTCCTGCATCCCAGTAATTTATGAATATGTTTAAGAGAACTGACCCAAACACAGAGCCCTGAGGAACCCCAGTAGTGACCAGTCTCCAGCCTGATGTTACCCCATTCACTATAACTCTTTGCGCTCAACTCATGCGCTAGTTGCTCAGCCATCACATGACATATTTATCCAACTGTTTGCTGAACATTTTGTCCAGGAGGATACTGTGAGAGACAGTATCAAAAGATTTATTGAAATTCAAAAAGTTTACCTTAACAGGCTTCCCTTGATCAACTAGGTGGGTTACCTTCTCACAAAAGGAAATTAGGTTGAAGCACTCTAACTATGTAACATGTTTAATTTTAAAATCCGTATTAGAAATTTAATACAAAATACCAGCTCTTTCATTATTACAAAATGATACAAGTGAGGTTACCTTTATAATTCATTAAATTACCTTTCTGGATTTTAGTTACTGTAACTAACTCAGAACACTACTATTTTTTTTTTCCTGAGAAGGCTTCAAATATTTTTCAGCTTAGTTTATTGCCTTAGCCTTTTGGCTGTATGCAACTCCACCGTGCACCTTGTCCACCATGGGCTAGTGAGAAATGTAACCACCCCTTGGCAGGCAGGCAAAGCCAGCCTGCCGCTCACCAGCACTCTTAGCAATCAGTAGAGAAAGACACAAATTCTACCCCCATATATATATATGAGCAACTCCAGATAAACCCCATATTCTTACTGTGCAATAATAAAATTACTTTGTAGCAAAATACTTGTAATACTGTGTAAACCTCTTCAAACCAAAGCCAATCCTTTGCATTAAATAAAAGTGAAAACTTCAAAGGTTACTACTCAAAAAGCTAGGGAAAGCCAGAAGGAAGGTTAAGTGCCTTCCCCTGCACCACAGGCATTCAGTTTTTTATGG